TACTTACTAAATATGGTGATGTTACTGCAATTATACTTTGTGTTATACTTTGTGAAATTAATTTTTAAGATATGCATTTTTCTTTTTTGGTCATTATTTCATATAGACTGGAGGTTACACAATCCACAAACAGATTCCGACATATTAATATATCGTAAGGTATGATCGTTATACATAATTGGTTATTGATTATCTTTCTATATTGGTTTTTATTTGATAAATTTCTCATATATTTGAAAGATTTTACGATGGTTTATGGATGGCCCAGAGTCTGAACAATATTATTCTATTCATAATATCGCACGTACGGGTATTGTATTGGATAAAAAGATTGGTGATTGGTTTGGCCCTGCTACCATAGCACACGTATTAAAGTAGAATCCATTTCAACTTATTATATTTTCTAGTTTCTGTTCTATATTTAATTATTTGTGTCATTAATTTTTTTTTTTATAAACTTTTATATTAATCTTATTACAGGAGATTATCTTTGAATCATAAAGAATGTCCGCTAAGTATTTATGTCCCAACGGATAACACCATATATAGGACAGAGGTGATTAACATAGCTATGGTAGAACATGATAACAATTTATTATGTGAGCAAAAAGCTTGGAAGCCTATACTTATATTACTATCTATTAGGTTTGTATTTATCCTTTATATTGTTTTTAGAATAATTAAGGTCAAGGTTTTTATAGCTTCATATTCTTTTAGATTGGGTACTGATAGATTTAATCCAAGTTATTCTGAAAACTTGAAGGTATTTATACATAAAAAAAAACATTATTATATTGTATTAAATCCTGTCAATTACAAATCTTGGTTATTAATACTTTCCTCGAAACGTAATAATTTCAAGATCATGTTTACGTTTCCTCAATTCTTGGGAATCGCAGGCGGTAGACCGAGAAAGTCTTTATATTTCGTAGCCGTTCAGGGTATGTTTACAGAATATATTATTAGTGCTGCCAAGGGAAAACATGTCATCGGACTTTCAATGTTCAGTTTGTTTTCTAAGTGCTGTCTACAAAAAATCTATCATCAGTTTTCAATTATATTTTGACAAAATATAATTTAAAGCGCGATGATAGGTTTTCTCTAGATTGTACTCGGAAAACAAACTGGACATTGAAAGTCCGATGACAGGTTTTCACCTGGCAACACTCATATACGATATATTTTACGTCATCCGATAACTCATATAGTTCTCACATGGTTAGATGATGAATTCTTTTATCTTGATCCACATTTTGTCCGACCTGCGATAAATCTTAGTAAAATCCAGGAATTTCCGATCGAAGTATGTATTTTATTACTTTGTTCCGTTTGTGTAATAGCATTCTTATAATCATTAACATAATTTATTAAGGATTACCATTCTACAATCGTTCGAGCAATGGATATTATTGAAATGGATCCTTCAATGCTTTTGGGATTTTTGTGTCAAAGACCTCAGGATTTTGATGAACTTTGCGAACGAATTAAACTGGTAAATTTTAACACACATTGATTGATTATTTATTCTTTTTAGCATACGAAGTCAATCTTTTTTTTTTGTCATAGGAAATGGATCCGCAATTCCCAATTTTCACCATCTCTTAAACCATCCTGATTAGCGGTGTCCACTAAAATAATTAAAGTTTTTTTTGTAAAAACATTAGCTCGAATTGAGTAGAGTGACTCCTAAGTGTACAAGTACAAGCCATTCAACAACCACATCATGGCGCATCCCACGTGAAGAGCACAAATTTAAATCACGTGGATACGTTTCGCCTTGGTTGTAGAAACTAACCATCCGGAATTGCTCTTATAATTCAGTTTTGGATAAATAAAATCACTATGTAATTTGGTACTTATCCATAATAAAATTTTAAGTTATTGAGAATTACTACTTAATTTTAAATTATGCTTTGGTTATTACATCTAGGGTGATGCTTTCAAACTTGCATTTATTTTAATAATACTGTCAATTTTTTCTACAACGAACTGAACTGTTCTAAAAGAAAAATGGTTTTTAAAGGAAATTGATATACTTTCTATTTTTTATATACATACCTTTTATTAAACAAAAAGTACTTCAAAATAAATATTTTTATTAAATAAACCTCTTTAGCAATTTTCAGTAAAGTTGTTTTTTTAATTTTTTTTATTCAAAATCGTAACTTAATCTTTACAGTTAATTTATATTGTATTATTGCAAGTCATATATATTAGATTATCAATGTCACATTCTATCGCGACAATAAATTACAATCCTAGTAGTGCTATAAAAAAAGTCACATTTTATCTTTGCAGTAAGCAAACTAATTTTAATAATAACAAATTATTAAAATTGGATTAGTAGTCTTTATTTAAAATTAATTAATATTTATTAAATTTAAATATTAATAATTTACAAAATTTTAATAAATTTTTTTTTTTTTTTTTGTATTAAAGTTTTTTTTGTCTTTGGGAAGTAATTTTTATTCTAGTTATTATAAACACGGGAACCTCTAGGGGTTCTCTTATATAGGACGTTACAACTAATTACATGTTTATTTTTGATGCTTAATTTAAGTAGTTCATTTATACATTACTATGTATACAGCTTTTGCATTAGATATTATATTTGCAAGTTAATTATGAGTTTTGCTTATTTAAATCTTTTGCATATACAATCTCAACTTGTATTATAAGACATTTTTAGAGTACAGTTTATTCAAAGTTTCAATATGTGTCAGTATTCTTAAGATTATTTTATTTTTGATAATGTTACAAAATTGCAACCTTCTTAATATAATACAACCAAGTAACAAAATTACTTAATATAGTGATTAACTATTGCAAATATATACAAGATGAAAGAGGTGTGGTGACCTAGTGAAGTGGTCAGGTTGTCAACCCCAAGTGGCAGGTCTAGAGTTCAAATCTCATGGATAATGAATTTTGAAAAATAGGTTTGTGTTATGGTAATTGTCTCTGTTGATCAGTTGGATTAGTGTATCTGTAACCTTTGTTACACCATCTCGAATGGAAACTCGGGCATCTATGCTAAGTGTAATGTTACATTCACATAGAGGAATGTATAACCAGTGTTGCATAAGATTTCGGTACAAATTTATGATAAGACCATCAGGCATAGAAAGCGAAAGAACTGAAGAGTCAAAAACCCATTTGAAAATCCTGAGTAAGAAGGTAATATAAAACTTTCAATGGTGTTGTTAGACTGATGAAAGCTTATGAAACATCTCCAAAGAAATAGGTAGATAAACTGAATAGCAAAATGTGTAAAGAAGCATATGACTAACCAGATTACTGGAATTGTTAGAGGAAAAGAATACTAAGATATACCATATTGGGTCATTTGGATTAGAAGTCTGAGAAGTTCTGTCAATCCTGAGTAATGGTTAGTAGAGAATGATGGAAAAGATATCAGAAAGATGAGTACTGGGGTTTTGGATAAATCTTATAAGAGTAAAAGTAGTTTAATGATTAATCCTAACTGCAAGTGATGGTTTAGACCAAAGCATGACTAGGTGAGTTGTAAGTATGAAATACAGAACATACTGATAGGTTTAGTACAAAGTTAAACATGACTTAGTGACCATGGCATATCTTTACCAGTTTACCGAAGTCACTAGTAGGGTATGGTAGATACAGGATCAGAGTATTTAAATAGGGGATCTACAGATGGGTTCTAGATATAACAACAGACTATTTAAATTAGACAATGATTAAAGTTATACGAGTGACTAGTTGTACACTCTTTCTGTAATTGCCTCTGCGTCTGTACATATACAGGTGCTAACCAACTTATACTATTAGTAAAATCCTGAGTCGCATGTACTCATTTTAACATTAAAAAAAAAATATATATACAAGATGAAGATATAATAGTTTATTTTATAATATAGTAGCAAGAAAATAATTTAAGATAATAACAATATATAGATTAAACTTTATTAAACAAATATATAATAACAATCTTGTCTGTAAAAATTATCTTAAAAAAGGAATATCACATTTACAAATTAGAAAATAAAATAATAGAATCTAAATATAGAAATTTAGAATTGGAAAAAAAAAGAAAAAAATAATCTTTATATATTCTTTTACTTAGTAGAAATAATAAAAATTTGAGTAATAGAGTGTGGCAACCTAGTGAAATAGTTAGGTTATCAATCTTCAAGTAGTAGATTGGATGTTCAAATCCTAACAAATCAATAAAATTTTATTTTTTAATTAATCAATAAAAAATTTTATAATATTATAAATAAAATTATTTATTTATTATAATAAAATTTTAAACTATTATATTATTTTAAAAAAATATACTTGTATATATAATAAAGTTTACTTAGATGAGTTAAAATTTAATTAGATAATACAAAAACAAAGAATTGATTAATTTAATTTACATAAACCTATAAGTTAATTTTATTATATAATTTTAAATTTTTAACCAATTTTAATAATTTTGTTATTATTAGAATCAGAAAAACCTACTCTACAATTTTTACTTAATGATTAAAATTAATTTACTTAATACAATTTTTTATAAAATTAAATATAAAAAAAAACTACCATTAAGTTTATATAATTTTAAAATACTGCCTCCTACCCTTAAGAAGTAAACTACGTAGTATACCGACTAAAATATCATGCAAAATACTCTGGCGTAAAACATGGAATCCTGGAACAGTTGAAAGATTTTCCAATGACCGAATCGATAAGTCACTGATGTCGGCCGAATCAAAAATTTATGTCCCAAGATTTATGAAAACAGTTATAATCAAATGTGTTAAATTCTGGACTGATTATTATAAATCCAGTGTATGTATATACTTGAAATTTTTCAATTTTTGTAACAGACACACAACAGCTGTCTTTTGCAAGTTTTTCGTTGAGTATTTTGTCTTAGACCCTCGGATCTTTTAGTCGGTGCACTACGATATATTTATCTTAAATTGTACTGAAAGTCTATATTAGTTTGAAGTTGTATAAAATTAATATAGCTATTAATTAGGTACGCTCTTTATTATAAGATACAGTATGCAGCATGTAATAGATATCAGCCTTATTATAAATAAAGTTTTATCAATTCGTCACTTACTCCGGACGGTGTTAATACACCTAAATCTGTGCACAACAATGTAATATAATCAGGTGGTGTATAATCTACTGTGGGGTTAATCGCCTAACATTTAAACGAAAATTAATAAATGATTAAAAACATTTTTTCTGTTAACACAAAGCAACTAACCTCATAATTGCCTATAACTTCATCTTCTGATAAGTCAGTATGGTGATGCTCTAAGTCAAGAAATGTAAGTAAATCGGGTGTGTGAGTTGGAAGATCGTATTGGTTGAGCGGGAACAGACGAACAAATTTATAGCTAGCAATGTAAATGCGTTAAGATCAGAGCTTATTAATTTTATTCGTTTAACAATCACTAATTAATTAAATTCATGCTTACCTTTCGATAACCGCATAGAATGGTTTATTAGCAGCTTTTGCAACAATAGCTAGCTGATAAGTGCCAATCTGTTATGTTTGGAAATTTTACTCAGAAATTTTAACTAGATTTAAAATACACTAAATTCAATGTGAGCCTTACAGCATTAATGAGCCCTCCATTTTCAACAACACCTTCTGCTCCGACAAAAACAGCATCAACTTTATCAATAACGTAGCCTACTGCTGTATCATATATAACTGTTGCCGGAATTCCTGCTTTGCATAATACTTTAGTGGCTCTTATCCTAATAATAATATTATTACATACATCAGATCAATACCACAGGTAGCAAATATATGGTGAATATACAAATGCAACTTACTACTTACCCTAAGCCTGAGGGTCTAGATTCAGTAACATAAACTTTAAATCTTTTTTTACAAGCTGCAGCACGTTGGAGAAGCAACATAACCACACGAGAGTAAGAATGAATCAATATTGTCTGATGAGGTTGTAAAAATAAAAATCGTCAGAGAAACACATGTCCTAAAAGATTCAAATTAAAACATAAATAATAAATAATACGTACTGCATCATCTTTAATAAATTGTACGCCTAAATCACCAATCTTTTCACGTACAGCAGCGGCTTTTTCAACAAGAACTTTCCCACTATTCATCAAATGTTCTCTACATGCGTCAAAATTCTAACCAAAATTCATATTAGAATTTAATTTAGCATAACCTTCATATAATTCAACAATATAATATAGCGTGTTTTATCATTTACTCACTGTAACATCGTGCGACGTTCGTGTCACGAACCTTAAAAACAAATCAGCACCGGCAGATAATGAAATTGAATTTTTCACAGATGATTTAAGTTTTTGACTAGCATCTTTCAAAGATTCCATGAATTCCGTCAGTGTGGTTGCTTACATAAAATCAAAAGAGGAAATAAATAAATTTTCAAAATTTTGTCAATCAAAATAAACGAAATATCAATAAATCATACCTTTGCTATGTTTTATCAACTCGACAAGTGACTCTATCGCCGCGATTGGCATGGATACATCCTAATCTCAATACAAATAAGCACAAATACAATTTATTTCCACTATAGATATAAGAACATACCGGATCATCTTTCAGAAATTGTTGATAACACGTGACAATGTCAAATTGTTCGGCATTACAACTTTGCATCTTTTATTAAATGATTTCTTTCGAACCCTTTTATACTGCAAAAAGAAAAAAGATCGCGAGGTGATGTTACCCAAACCCGACTAAAGAGGTAATTATATTTCTACCTAATTTTGGATCGACATTTGCCCAGACCTAACAACCAATCAAAGTGCATGGTGGTCAAAATAACTTTTATCATGTGATAATGTTAGTTTTTGCCCTAAATCCGTTAGTATGTTTTCTCGTTAACCAACAAGAAGGATTTTTCTGATCGGGAAGCTCTAATTGCATCTAATAATTAAAATCTTATAATTTTGTTTTTTATAGCTTGTTAGCTTATGTAAAATAGTGAGCTAACCCTTTTTTTTTGAAAAATAAAGAACGAATGTCATATCGAGTGATTAAAAATAAAAAAAATGAACAGCCATTATGAATGTTTATAAAATTTATCAGGTTCGTTTTTGGTTTATAAAAATTATTAATCAAAACCTTGTAATGGAAGACATAAGCGAAATATTTCTGATACATCACAGGTTAGTGAAAATTATTGAGAAACTAAATGAGAAAAAACGGTTTCAAAATAAATCTATAAATAAAAGTGAATGTTCAAGATCTGATATTTGGAATGATTTTATTTATGAAGAATCTGATAGCAAAGGTCATTATAGTGTAAGATGTTAATACTGTATTAAATAAAAGTGAAAACTGGGTAAACCTTTAGTCATGGAATCTTATCATGTTTTGTATTGTAAAGGCAATGTTTTGGTTAGTTTAAGTTGCAAAATAAAATAATAATACAAAGGGTATTAATTATAGTAATAATAAAAGTGTATTATAATCCTCTTCAATAAGATCTAAATTTTTTTATGTTCATATTTTAAATCTTTTGAATTTGAATTAGAATAAAATTAAAAGTTTTATTTAAAGTTTTCGTTTGTATTGGAATTTTATTTTCTAAAATTAATAATCTATTTGTACAGAAATTTTTTAATATAATTAAATCAAAATATAAAAAAGGCTTACATTAGTAAAACAGATGCTTAATGAAAAAATAGCTTATATAACAGTTTTACTAATGAATTATTTAAAAAAAAAACAAAATTTGATACTAGGTATATGTCGCATCTGAAGTAGCGATTTATCTAAAGTAGCCACTTTATATATCTAAAGTAGCACCCTGGCTAAAATTAAAATCTAATGCATGCATGACGATCTAATTTCAGGGGCTTAATTTTAGCCAGGCGCTACTTCAAATAAGTCGCTACTTCAGATGCGACATATATACAGTTCACCCTCGCTATAGCGGATTGGTTGGGCTGGAAAATTCCATCCGTTATAAAGAATATCCGTTATTACGTTATAACGGATTTACTATCTAAAACTTGGTAATATACGGTATAGCGAATCTGACCAATCATATTTTGTATTCTGCAAAATATATTACCAGAAATGCTACAATATACTACACCTTAATTTTATATTCGTTATGTTACATTACATATAGGCACTGTTCAATAGAAAAGGGTGAAATCTCTTTTTTAGATCTGGTCAAATTGTTCAGATTTAAAAAAGAAATTTCTCACTTTTTTATTAAAAGTGCCTATATTATATTATTGTTTATTATAGAAATTGGACCTGTTTAGAAAATCTTTACCTGGGTATTATTAAATTACCTGAATTATTCAGGTAAAATTATTATGGATTTCAGGGTAATCACATAGCAACAATTTCTACCTACCCAAAATCTTCAAGAATAGTACTAAAGCTCAATTGGATTAAACAGTTAGACATGATTAAATAATTAATTTTTAAAATAACTTTTTTGAAAATTTTAATTCCTATTATTATTTTGCTTCGAAAGTGACAAGTCATATGGATCATTATATGCTACTAGTAGTACAATTAAATGCTATCTAAATTTTAAAAATAAGATAATATTTTATACTAAATATAAAACAACTTAGGATAACCAATGGTTTAAAGACTAAAGCTTATATATTTTTTTAAAAAAATATTGTAAATAACAGAAGGAAATATACCTGATTCAAACTTAATTCTACACTTGGTATACAACACATAAAAATCATTTAACAGTTAATGTTACAAATAAGATCATAAATGGATTATCATTACTAATCCTTTACAGTTTGGATTAGATACATTTCTATTTGTTACTAAAAAAATGGCATGTTATTATATAATGATTTGCAAAATTTACAGAATTTTGCAAACTATAATAAATATCCTAATAAATTTATTCAAATAATTTAATTGCTTATTAAACAAAAATTGTTTTATTTAACATTGTATAAATCTATACATTATTTAAAAAACTGCATTAATGACATCTGATATCTTGCATTTATCTTTTTATATCTAATAATTTTACTTACACATTTTACTATACCTAATTCTTTAAATGAAATTCCAAATTCATCATGTTGTTGTAATAAAAATTCCAGAAAAACAAAACAGTAGTTTTAGCTATAATACAAATAAAGGAAGACAAACCAGAAATTTGAAAAATAGCACAATTAAATGAACAGTATTAAATTCACAGAAGACTAAATATAGACTTCATCTTACAAAGCAAACAAACTGAACCAATTCATACTAAAAGAGAAAAGAAAAGATGGAAAATCTAAATTATTTAACTATATAGGACTTATCAGCAAACATCAGTTAAGAATAAATCAAATTTATGTATAGAAGTATTGAAAATGCAAAAGTTGTAATAATCAAAAGATCTCAGTTTAAAGCACTAGCAATAATCGAAATAATGAACAGAAACTATACAGAAATGTCATGATTGTTCTCATTTAAACTACAACAAATTAGAATAAATAACACAAGGTGAGAAAAATTATAAGCAAAGAAATAAACATAGTCTTTTTACAGAAAACTTTTAGAAGTACTCAAAGGAGTTTCCAAAGTTTTTTTGCTAAGAAGCCTTAAAAATAAAAGAGTAAAGTCAGTATTTATGCCAATTAATAGCAATAATAATTTTAAAAAGTTTGCAATTATTACTTTTGTAAACCAAAAAGACCTAGAATTAACACAATCAAAACTATTCCAATACTACAATCACTCAATCTTTTAGAAAAATTACAAAGTAAAAAAAGCAATAAGAAGAAAAAGTAAACTATTAAAAAAGAAAAGTTGAACCAATAAGAAGAAGATAACCAAAAAATGAAATATGAATATAGCACAAAGAATTTAAATAAGAATTCAAAAACCAAACAAGAAAAAAAAAACAATAAATCATCAAGAAAAGAAAAAAAGTTATCAACTAAAAACTTACTACTAGAAATTATTAGCAGACTAAACAAACTTAAAGTATAACAAGAGGTGTGGTAACCTAGTGAAGTGGTCAAGTTGTCAACCTCCAAGTGGCAGGTCCAGAGTTCAAATCCCAGTGTTGACGGAAAATTTGAAAATCCTTTCTGTGTTATGATTAACTGTCTCTCACAATTGGTTGGAATAAGATACCTGTAACCTGTGTCACACCAGTATGACTGGCAGGTCACATGGCATTTGTGTAATGGTCATATGACATTGTCCTTTGGGACAAGGTCTGTAGTTACACAAAGGAATGCAAACTGGTACTGGGCAGTACAAACTTACAA